GTAGACCTTGGCAATAGTGAGTATTAATAGGTCTTGCTTCTCAAAACGCAAGACTGGATTCCCGAGAAGGAGGGAAGGAGTTGTCAAGGCTGCACAAATCTTTTCTAGTCTCTTGCCCCGCCCTGCCCCGCCCCGCCACCCCTGGTAATTTTGGTACGGATATTGATGGCTGAAAAATAAAAATTTGTATACTTCTCCATGTTGGCAATGTTAATGAAGCTCTCCATATTAACAGAACAAGGCATTTGGGATATCATGAAAGGGCAACCAATCACATTTCATTTATTTATGTTGCATTTGGACTATCAGCAAGAAGTACTTATAGGTAATTGGCCTCAAATGTCAAAATAGCTTGTCCAGCCACTGGACATGAGTTAGTTAGATGCCATTGACTTCTGATAATTACACAGACAACTACTTGCTAGTAATGTCTTTGACCCAATCTTTCCACCTTATCTCTTGTCTTCCACTTCTTCCTTCCCCAGTGTTGCCAAGTATAATCATTCTTTTAGTCCAGAGACATTGGATGCTAAACACCATTTTCTGTTCTCCCTCAAGAAGTTAGTTGCAGCCAGCTTTAATAGATGCTCAAGGCACCCTTGGTTATTTGCTGCTGTTGTTTCACTCTATGGCTGTCCTAAATGTTACAGCATATTCCAGAGCAGCTTTTCCCAATTTCCTGCCCTTTAAGTGCACTGAAGCACAGCTCTGAGAATTGTGAGCTAAGACGTGTGTGAGCTGTAATCCAGCATATCTGAACTACAGATTAAGGGACACCACCCTAGGAAAACCTCATGCTCCTTTTTTGAATACCGTTTCTCAATGCTGGGATGAAAATGAGTACACAACAAACTAAACACTAATCCACTTACAGATTTTAGAGTTTATTTCAAATCAGATTTGTTTAAATTGCGGCCAGCCTAATCTATTTCACTTTCTGGTGGTCAGTAGTGCTCATACGCTGTACTGCTGTTTTCCCAACCTTTTCTGGTGATGCTTTACATAAAAAGAAAAGAAAAGTAGCTCATATCTTCAAATGGAGACCCAGTTCTTAACAGAAAATATAAACCTCTTTCTGAAATGTTGAACCTGTGGTGTATTGATTTATTTTAAATGCCCTTGCCATCCCCTCACTGTTGTTAGCACAACTGTAATGGTATGTAGGAATGATGTTGGGAGATAGAAGGAAGATCTACAGACTAGGCAGTGGTCAGAAAAGAGGCAGCTGAGCCCACAGAAGGAATGCGGGTGTGGCAAACATCTTGGAAGGGACCCTCCCTACTTTCTTGGACTGTAAAAGTGAGGGGAGAAACATGTCCTTTCAGACTTGCAAGATTCTGTTAATGTAACCTTACAATAATGATAGAGCTAGTATTTCTGGATGTGCATCATGTCTGGACTACCTCACAAGGCTGACAGCAACTCACACAATTAAAAAAAAACCAAAAATCTGGATTTGGACCAGGGAAAGCTGAACCAGGGAAACCCAGGTTCACCTTCCTATTCAGTCACTGAGTTCATTGAGTGATTTAGAAGGGATCTTTCAGTCCAATCTCCCCTGTAGAGCTGGAATCAATCAATTAAAGTTAGTGTCAGGATGGCTCCACAACATTTTGGAGCTCTTTACTAGGAATTACTAGGATTTTATTCTAACCAAAATTCATAGGATTATACCATAGATAAGTGTCAATTTATCATGTTATCCTGCTTCAGGATAGTACTGGACCATCTGATGTGATTCTTTGATAATAATTCAATTGATATCAGTATACCAAGCATGTCTAAATTAAATAACAATGTTGGTTATTCTGTGCTCAGTACAGACAGTTTTCCTCTAGTCTGCTGATGAGCAAATAATTCAATCTTGCATGCTTCACGTAAAATTAGCCAAATATTATTGCTGTACATAAACAAACATAACTAGTTGTGAATAACAGAACATATTAATATGTGCAATAAGTCAGTGCTTGCTTTTATTTCTTTCAGTCTCACAATTTTAATCTCTTTATTTCAGATTCTTAACCTGAACAGAAGACCTTTGCTCCTGTGCTGTGGATGTTAAGCCTTGTGTATGGCGCGGTTAAAGTTACAACCTGTCACCTCAGCCTTCCTCCGGTTTGGGCTTTTTACTTTTGTCCTGTTTTTACATGGTCTACAAGTAGATGCTGGCACAGGGACAGATTCACCAAGCATAGGACATAACGCCACATGCTCAGGTTCTTCTGAGTGCAAGGAGGGTGTTATCTTGCCAATATGGTATCCAGAAAACCCATCCCTGGGGGACAAAATTGCCAGAGTTATAGTTTACTTTGTAGCACTAATCTACATGTTTCTTGGAGTCTCTATCATTGCCGACCGTTTCATGGCATCCATAGAAGTCATTACATCGCAAGAGAAAGAGATTACAATCAGGAAACCTAATGGAGAAGCCATCACCACCACCATCCGAATATGGAATGAAACTGTTTCCAATTTGACCCTCATGGCTCTTGGTTCCTCTGCCCCTGAGATCCTTTTGTCATTGATAGAGGTATGTGGTCATGGATTCATTGCTGGTGAACTGGGCCCTTCTACCATCGTTGGCAGTGCAGCTTTCAATATGTTTATCATCATAGCCATCTGTGTCTATGTCATTCCTGATGGGGAGACTAGGAAGATAAAACATTTGAGAGTTTTCTTTGTCACAGCTGCATGGAGCATCTTTGCATATATCTGGTTATACATGATCCTTGCAGTCTTCTCTCCAGGTGTGGTTCAGGTATGGGAAGGCTTGCTCACCCTGTTTTTCTTCCCTGTTTGTGTCATCCTGGCTTGGATTGCAGACAGAAGGCTGTTTCTCTATAAATATATGCACAAAAAGTACCGTACTGACAAACACAGGGGTATTATCATTGAGACAGAAGGGGATCACCCCAAAGGGATTGAAATGGATGGTAAGATGGTGAACTCCCATTTTCTAGATGGAAACCTAGTGCCTATGGAGGGGAAAGAGGTGGATGAGTCTCGCAAAGAGATGATCCGGATCCTCAAGGACCTGAAACAAAAGCACCCAGAAAAAGACTTAGATCAGCTGGTAGAAATGGCCAACTACTATGCTTTATCCCACCAGCAAAAAAGCAGAGCATTCTATCGGATTCAGGCTACCAGGATGATGACTGGAGCAGGAAATATTCTCAAAAAGCATGCAGCTGAGCAAGCCAAGAGGAGTGCTAGTTTGCATGAGGTACGGCCAGAGGAGCCAGAAGAATTCATCTCCAAAATTTATTTTGATCCTTGCTCCTACCAATGTCTTGAGAACTGTGGTGCTGTCCTCCTAACTGTTGTCCGGAAAGGAGGTGATGTCTCCAAGACCATATATGTGGATTATAAAACGGAAGATGGCTCTGCTAATGCTGGGGCTGACTATGAATTTACAGAAGGGACAGTTGTTTTGAAGTCAGGGGAGACCCAGAAAGAGTTCTCCATAGGGATCATTGATGATGATATCTTTGAAGAGGATGAGCACTTTTTTGTACGTCTCAGCAACCTGCGGGTGATTGATGCAGAGGACCCTCCTGAAATCAACAAACTGCCATATCCCAAGGCCATACTGGTTTCACCCTGTGTGGCTACTGTGACTATCTTAGATGATGACCATGCGGGCATCTTCACCTTTGAGTGTGATATGATACACATCAGTGAGAGCATTGGGGTAATGGAGGTGAAAGTTCTTAGAACATCTGGTGCACGGGGTACAGTCATAGTCCCTTTTAGAACAGTTGAAGGGACAGCAAAAGGAGGCGGAGAGGATTTTGAAGATAGTTTTGGAGAGCTGGAATTCAAGAATGACGAAACTGTGTAAGTAACTAATTTTCATTATTTTAATAGTCATCTGTAATTAACTCTAGAATTTTCATCCATCACAGGTAAACATGGGCAACATGGACTGTCCTCTCTTCTCTTCTAGTCTCCATACTTACCTCCTCTACACAAGAACCTTGTAGCAGGATCTAGTTCCTTCTCTTTCTAAGAGATTAATTAATGGATATATAGATGCTTTTTGAAATAGCCTAATATTTGCCTAATATTTATTTTAAAGAATCTGACAAGGCTAAATACCAAAACACAACAAAACTCAAGCCAGTAGAATCTTGATCATGTTATTTGCATGTGATTAACAGATTGAATTATCCTAGGCCATCAAAACCTCCAGTTACTGGCCTAGCTAATCTAGGCTTCCCCAATTTGCCGCCTTGCAGATGTGCTAGATTTCTTCTCCTGTTGGATGTGCTGGCTGGGGTTTATGGAACTTAAAATCCAACACATCTAGAGGGGATCAGGTTGGGGAAACTGCTCTGATCAGTTAGCTCTTCTTTTCATGAGCTGAATCAGTCATTTCTTTTTTTAAAAAAAAGCAGTAATAATAGTTTCATACCTGTTGATTACTTTGAGAAGAATCTTGCAATCAGTTTTCAAGAGTGAAATCAGTAGTTTTCATACAGCAAATTAGTTTTCTATATTACTGGGTATTTCTTTAATCTCTCACATAGCAGATCCTGTAAACTATTTCCTCCATTAGCAAAGTCTGCTTGAACATGAATAATAAAGATTGTTCTGACAGAATTTGTTTGTATGCTCCTTTTCTATTGCCACTTTCTTTTGATAAAAAAAGATTTTTATTTACATGTTGAAGAGGACAGAATTAATATGACGCCTCCAGTGTAATCATCTCTTTCAGCAAAGCCTTAATAATAGCCTTCAAAAAACAACACGACAGTACACTCCATGGACATGCTTTCCTCTGTGTATTTCTACAGTTTATTCCAGTTGATGTCACTGTGAGATTTTTGCCACTGTGAGGCAAGGAATTATATCTGCCTGTAATCTCAGAGAACTATTGCCAGTTAGTGTGGAATGACCACACTGAGCTGAACTGATTAGCATTCTGACTTGATTTAATGCATCTCCTATGCTCTGGTAAACAAAGGTATTAAGCACTATAGAAACAATAACATGGCATTTAAAAATTCCTGTGTCTGCTCGCTGACATCATAGCAAATTACATCACACATGCTCACTGCATTTTCATGGTTAATTACCTTAATTACCCAACCCTAATTTTCTGTTCCTTCAGGGGGAGATTCTGCATGTTGTGCTACATCAGATGTGTCAAACAGTCACTGGTTTGTCACAGAAACACCAGATTATTCAGTCCAAGGAGCTCTGCTTGCAGGTTGCTTTCACATAATGATTCATTACGGTTTCCCATATTGATTAGCCCTTTGGAGATGTTCAGCTCGTTCACAAGAGGATTCAAGGCTTCCTGGACCTAAGGCTGGGCCTGCAGGCCCTGTCTCTAAGTTGCTGTCCACCCCTGATGTTTTAAATATGATCAAAAAGTAAAAGGGCTTCTGCTTGAATGTAGCCAGGTTCTTGGCTGAGCAGAAGGTTTCCTAGTTGTGTTCAAGCAAACATGAATAGAAGTCCTTTCAACCATCGCGCTCAGCTAAGGAAAGAGAGATCAGGGGCTTTTGTATATACCCTCACATTTACAATGAACACCTGCAAGGTGTATCATGCTAGGACTTTCACATCCCAAGATGTGCAAAAGATGTGTCAGAGAGTAGAATTTGGCCTCCTGGGGAGACGTGATGTAAGCACCAGCTCTTCACAAGCTGGTGACCAGAGATGATTGCAGTGGACGCAATTTTTTAACCAGTAAGTGGCAACAGAGGGGATTTCATTAAAATACTGAAAGAGATAAAACAACCTTGATTCCTTAAAAATATACTTGCCTAGGAGGAATAGAGGAATACCGGGGGAGTGGGGGGAATCTCTGAAGCAAAGCTTTGAAGGAAGCTGATCCTGCCACAGTTCTTACTTATTGCTTCTGTAATTCTAGAATGGTCAAAGTTTCCTCACCTACATTTGGGAGGTGGGCTGGGAAAGATGATTTCACTGTTGGCACATAGCTGGTCAAGATGATTTTCTTTAAACACACTGTGATTTCATTGGGAAAGTAATATCTACAAATTACTGCTTAATGCTGCAAGTAACGTAGGTTCCACATTCACTTCTCACTACAGAGCTGACAATCTGCAGTTCTTTTGCATGGTTTCAGCTTTGCCTCTGTAAGTTCCCTCTTGGGTTCTATATGTGTTTTGGGAATTTGTGTACCACATCTTCATCCCAAAGCTTTAAGCCAGGAAAATTAAAACAAATACAATAAAACAAGATGAAATGTAAACATGGAGGGGGATTCAAACATTATTTCATAAGGCCTGTGCATGGAAAAAGACTTCAGTTTGCCACTGGAGAAGACAGAGCGTTGGTGTCAGCAAAGGGTGTTCCAAATTTGGGATGCCACTAGTGAGAAGACCATTTGCAAATGGTACTTGAATTAGCTCTGGTCCTAGACTGTAAGCCACCATTTCATCAGTCTTCTTCCAGGTTAGGACCCTAGAAAATTCCCACTAATCTAAATTCTGCTGACAGCATCCAAGCCTCATGTTTATGTATAGGTATAGTATAGTCACCAATATTTAGTGTCCATAGATTTTTAGATAACTGGAGCCTTCTCTCCCATGAGTCTGCCTCCATTAACGTGTGCTTCAGACCTTCATTCAAATATTTTATCCACTGGAAATTTTTTCCCTGTTGTCCTACTGTTTGCCCCATGTTTTACTTAAGCCTCAAACAGCAATTTCCAATCCTCCTTTACTGCCCCTAGGTCTCAGCACCACATTAATTCATGTTCTCAAGGTTTTAATAGGAAAGGCAACAAGATCAAGCCCATTAGACTTTGGAACTTTTTTGTTTTTATTTTTAATCAGCTAATGTTCTAAGAGCTGATTCTTTAATAGTTAGTAGTGCAACACTGGCTGGAATATATGTTGTAATACCTTAAAATCTATCAAGTAAGTTTCATTTATTTTAATAATTTTTTAAAAATTCAAGTGATTCTGGAGCACATATATATCTAATCTTTTTAACCTGGGGTTTTCAAACTTAAAAGCTAATATGGGAGAAGGAAAACTGTATTGGACCCATTTGGGTCTTTTTTCCCCCCTTTCCTTTCCCTCATTTCCTTTAGAAATAGATCTCACCAGAACCCTTGCCATCTTTCACCGTCTCTGTATATTTATTTTTTGTTTGAACCTGCCTCCTATTCTAGAACCTATCCACAGGTTCCTTACTATTGTACTTGATCCTAGACCTCTTCACAAAAAGTGCTCCGGTACCCAAGAAACTGCCCGAATGCTTTCCCAGAAGATAAATGGGGATTCCTCAGTAGATAAGTCAGTGAATAAATGATGCCCCCAAAAGTGAGAGTATGAAAATGATTGAGTTAGGAGAACCCATTTGGCATGCCATGCTAAGTCTTCTCTTTAGTATTTTCTTCAATTTCGGTATTTCATGACTAGATGGATACACTGATCCCACTGAGGATTTTGTTACTGTGTTCACATCTGTAGCTCCATGCAGACAGTCTTCTTATTTAATGAGAACTGGTTAAGAGGAGAGTGGAAGTGTATAGCTCTGCCCCCCCCCACCTCGTCCCAGTTACAGTATAGTCCTATTACTGGCCCTGCCATTCTTCTCAAACTGGAAAGTGTACATTTGTAACAGTGAATCTGCTAAACCTATGTAGGCTTTCTATGCAGTTTAGAATTTGTCCAAGGTACTAAATTGTGTAGGGACTCTGCTTGGAGGGTTGCAGGGTTGATGACAGGGATGTAACTAGTGGGGCCTCAACTTTCCCCTGCTTCTGTAGGGCTTATTTAATTGATTTTATTGGTTGAGTGTATTAGTTGGACAGTAAAGAAATACTGTAGCTCTGGTAGTTTTATAACATTAGCTTTCAAAGTATGCAGTATGTCCTTGGTTTTGCCAGGAAAATTCATGGTTCTGTTAAAAGAGTAGTATTAAAGTTTAATATTAAGAACTAGTCTTTAGTATTAAACTGGAAGACAAGTTGGCTGTTAGCCCAGTGGATGGAATGACCATCACTAATCTTTTGCATGAAGTCTATTACTATTTCTTGATGCCTATTGTATATTCAAAGCTAAGGGACAGCTTAGACAGTTGACACTACTGTTTCTAACAGTTTTCTTCCATCTGACAGCCAGATCAGGCCCTGGGAAGCTGAGAGTGATAAAAATTGATGCAAGTAGAGGAAACCTTGGAATGAAGATCTAGCATGGATTAGGGTCCAGGTGTGGGAGGAGGCCATGGAAAGTGCTGACTTCTCCACCTCCATTGTACCTATCCTGAATAGGCAAAAATCACTTTTCAGCACTGCTTTGACCTCCTTTATTCAGGTGGGGAACCAGAAGAGTCAGTGGTTTGCTCTGAGCAGTTTGTAAAGTTCTAAATCTATCAGTTCTAATATTGGGATAGGTCACGATGATATAACTTGGGCAATTTTTTAAAAATGTGTTTGTTTGTTTGTTTGTTTGTTTAACACATTTATATAGCTGCCCATCTCACTAAACATGACTCTGGGTGGCATACAATAAATAGTTAAAACAACATCACCACTATTAAAACACTTTAAAAAATAAATAAAAGCAAGATAAATAAGATAGTAAAAAACAAGATTGTGGGAGAACGCCCTTCTAAACACAATACAACCATTGTGTAGGCTCCCCATGGGATCCCCAAGGCTGCTGGAAGAAGCACATTTTCAGGGCCTTTTCACAAGAGGTTTGAGATTCCCCAGTGCCCCAGTGAAACAAAGGAAAAAATGTCAAGGATACAGGCAGTCTAGTCGCCCAAAATAAAATGGGCATGGAAGGCAGCATCCAGTGGCCAGAGGGGAGGAGGCACTACCATCAAAGTATACGGTAGCCAATTGAAATG